GGAGGAACCTGGGAAGAAGAAAATGTGAAGAGAAAGGAGGGAGAACACGGTAACTCTAGGTGATAACAGTGGATTGTATAAGTGAAATTTGCTAAGAGGGCAGAACTTAAACGTTAACAGAAAAAAAAATAAAAAGGTAAATATGTGAGGTGATGGATGTGTTCATTAACTTGGTGGTAATCCTTTCACAATGTATATGGATATCAAATCATCATGTTGTACACTTTAAATATCTTACAAATTTGTCAATGATGCCTCAACAAAGCTGAAAAGAGAGAGAGAGAGAGAAAGTGAGGAGAATATGCTAAGAAAATCCAGTAAATAAAAATTTAGACTGGACAAATTGAGAGGTAGTGATTCATTCTATGGTGTGGGACACATTTAAATGCAGTTTCATTAAATCTAAAACACAATATTATTTATCTATAAAAATATCCACTCATACCTATTTTTAAGGAGTAAATCCACATAATAAAAGTCCAGTTATATAACACTTTAGAGTTCACTAAGTCAAACCTAATTTTTACTTAGAGCATCAATAACATTTACTTACATACCAAAGACAGTTGTATCTAACAGACAAGTTACCTCCCTGAAATTTAGCATTATTCAATGGAAAGGATTGTCTAATAACACAATTATGTTTTTAACCAGACAATTTAGGGCAATAAATGGGAATATGTGAAGAAGCAGCTGAGGATGTTATACAGAAGTGCTCTTCTACATAATTCACTAATAATAGTGATAGTAAGGAGCTTGCTCCTTCTAAAACCTTGGAGAAAAACCCTAACGTTGTAAGAGTCACAGCTAGGAAAGCTGGGTTTGGAGTCTTAAAGTGGAGGAATATAATTTTTCCTAATAGACATAACTCCTATGTTCCACATAAGACATTTTGTAATCAATCCAAGCTATAGAAAGCTGCCAAGCACTGTGACTTGCTTCATACACTGCAGTTCTCAACCCTTTATACACATGCGCAGCAACTCTCAAAATAAGATCACTCGTTACATAGTGATTTTCAACGCACCACAAATGGACTGATTAAACGCATGGTCACCTCATATACAAGGGAATACTGTCCTCTGAGTTGCATGGTTTAAATAACAATTCACAAAACAATCTACCCCACATCAAAGGGTAGTCAAAATACACGTAAAGCCTATTACTAGCTACAAATCCACAAAACCTGGTACTAGTCCAGGCAAAGCAAGCAAATATAAAGCATCAGAATTTAAAAGCCAACTAATACAATAAAAAAGTAACAACTTCTAAAAGCCAGGTTAAATGTTCAGTTGAAATCCTCACATAATACTACACACTTTGAGAATTTTTAGTAACTAAAAATAGTAATAATAATAGTTTTTAAAACTGCTCAATGAAAGTAAGTGACTAAAGAAGCCTTGTATACTAGAGAAGATTAAATGGTATCATGTTGTTAAGAGGTCAGTAAAAAGTCAAGAAATTGTAAAATAATGCAAGAGGTCAGAAAAATAATTTGGAAAACTATACGTACTTTCTTTAAAATTTTTATACATTTCCAAAACCACGGAATTTTAAGCTTTCTTAAATGTTCAAAAAAACCCCTAAAATGTTGTATTTAAAAGATAAAAGTAGTAATTATTCTAAAACATCAACACAAATTGAAGTAATATGTTAAGATTTAAATGGTGTCTTATGTAGGAACTTCCCTTTTTTTAAAAATCAATAATAATGGATAAAGGAAATTTGCAAAATTTAATTTTAACATGAAAAAAATTATTGCAAGATGATTTTTAACCTATTTGGTAAGAATCCATTAAACTATATTTCTCTTCTATTACACCTAGATAATCATTTGACATTAGGTGTTCTAGATTATAAATGAGCTAACTTGCTTTTAAATGCAAAAAAATAGTTAACAATAGAAGTTAGAAAACTAATTTTTTTTAAAGGAATTTTTTTTTCCCTGAGGAAGGCTGGCCCTGAGCTAACATCCACTGCCAATCCTCCTCTTTTTTTGCTCAGGAAGATTAGCCCTCAGCTGACACCTGTGCCAATCCTCCTCTATTTTTTTGTATGTAGGATGCCTCCACAGCATGGCTGGTGAGTGGAGTAGGTCTATGCCCAGGATTGGAACTCAGGCCAGCAAAGCAAAGTGCATGGAACTTTAACCACTTAGCCACAGGGCCAGGCCCAGAAATCTAACTTTTTTTTAATATTTTTAAATATTTCCGGTATAGTTTCCCCACACATTCATTAGCATCCTAGTTATGACCAGCATTAAAGCTTTTAATAAGGGTCTAATCCAGGTCAACAATAAACACAAAAGGATAAAAATGGTCAGAAATAACCACTGGTGTATGCTCAAGTAACACATATTCACACATACATATCAAGCTTACTTTTAAGTCACGTTTAGTTCTTTCTTATGACTTAAAACTGGAGACAGAAAACTCCAGAAGTCATGAATAAAGAACAAAACAAAGTCTCCTCTTCTTGCCAAAATGTGTACACTCTGCAGGAGATTTAAGTGAGATATAAATATATATTACATATGTATCTCTTATTCTACACAAAATCTCAGTAGACACTTTCCCAAGGGTGTGGAAAAAATTTATTCTCTTAAATTCAAGTTTTTGCCCACTAAAAAAGATTTAAAAGCTCTAGTTACAGAAACATGTTCTTGAAATTACAGTTGTATTATATTCTACTTCAGTTATTTCCATACGACAACTTCAATATAACTAGTTTGTCACAGAGTCAAAAAACTTGTTCAATGAATACTGAAAAATCTAAACTTATCCAGTTATTACAAATGAAAATATATGCTATTTCAAAATTACATGCACCTCTTTAAAAATCAGGGCTACTAGACAGGGCAATCTACAGATTTAATGCAATCCCTATCAAAATTCCAATGGCATTTTTCACAAAAATAGAACAATCTTAAAATCTGTATGGAACAACAAGAAACCCTGAATAACCAAAGCAATCTTGAGAAAAAAGAACAAAGCTGGAGACATCATGCTCCCTGATTTCAAACTGTATTACAAAGCTATCGTAATCAAAAGAGATTGGCATAAAAATAGACACATAAATCAATGGAAGAGAATAGAAAGCCCAGAAATAAACCCACGCATACAGTGTCAATTAATTTATGACAAGGAACCAAGAATATACAATAAGGAAAGGAGAGTCTCTTTTTGTGTTGGGAAATTGTATTGGGAAAACTGAACAGCCACATGCAAAAGAATAAAACTTGACCACTAGCTTACATCATACATAAAAATTAACTCAAAATGGATTAAAGACTTGAATGTAAGACCTGAAACCATAAACCCCCTAGAAGAAAACACAGGCAGTAAGCTCCTTGACATCAGTCGGTGATGATTTTTTGAATCTGACACCAAAAGCAAAAATAAACCAGTGCGATCACATCAAACTAGAAAGCTTCTGCACAGCAAAGGAAACCATCAACAAAATGAATGGGAGAAAATATTTGCAAATCATATCATCTGACAAAGGACTAATATTCAAAATACATAAAGAACTCATACAACGCAATAGTAAAAAAACAAACAATCCAATTACAAACTGCACCTCACACCTGTTAGACTGGCTATTATCAAAAAGATAAGAAATAACATGTGTTAGTGAGTATGTGGAGAAAAGGGAACCCTTGTGCACTGTTGGTGGGAATGTAAATTGGTGCAGCCACTATGAAAAACAGTATGGAGTTTCCTCAAAAAATTAAAAATTGAACTACCATATAAGCCAGCAAGTCCACTTTTGGGTATTTATCTAAAGAACACGAAAACACTAACTTGAAGAGTTGTATGCACCCCCATGTTAACTGCAGTATTATTTACAATAGCCAAGACTTAAGTGTCTGTCAATGGATGAATGGATAAAGAAAATGTGGTATACACATACAATGGAATATTACTCAGCAATAAAAAAGAGGAAATCTTGCTATTTGCAACAACATGGATGGACCTTGAGGGCATCATGCTAAGTGAAATAAGTCAGACAGAAAAAGACAAATACCATATTATATTATTTATATGTGGAATTTCAAAAAAAAAAACAAGCTCATAGATACAGAGAGCAGATTGGTGGTTGCCAGAGGAGAGACGTGGGTGAAACGGGTAAAGGGGATCAAAAGGTACAAACTTTTAGTTATAAAATAAATAAGTCATAGGGATGTAATGTACAGCATGGTGACTACAGTTAATTTGCATATTTGAAAGTTGCTGAGAATAAATCTTAAAAGTTATCACAAGAAAAAAAATTCTGTTGTAACTATATATGGTGACAGATGTTAACTAGACTTATTGTGGTGACCATTTCACAATGTATACAAATACAGTCATGTGCCACAGAACATCGTGTCAGTCAATGATGGACTGCATATACAACAGTGGTCCCATAAGATTAGTACCATATAGCCTAGGTGTGTAGTAGGTACCCCATCTAGGTTTGTGCAAGTACACTCTATGATGTTTGTACAAGGATGAAATCGCCTAAGGGCACATTTCTCAGAACATACCCACGTTGTTAAGTGACAGATGACTGTATCAAATCATTATGTTGCACATCTGAAAGTAACACAATGTTATATATCAACTATACCTTAATAAAAAAAATTAAGGCAATTAATAGAACACCTAATCACATTAACTGAGCTCAAGTTGAGTCCCTAAAGAATGGTTTCCTTATTCTGTTACACTATTTTATGAAATAAATAAGTTCAGTCTAAACTACTTGATTATCATTATTTTCAAACTACAAAGTTCATGTACAATTTTGAAAACTGATGCAAGTATCCTCCACTATAAGTCTACACCTAATTATCTATAATCATTAATGGAAACAATACTGTCCCAATCAGGCACAACAATTTCCTTCCATTTTATAAACAAGAACTTCCAATCCAGTTCAACAACTAATCATATTTCAAATTACAGACTTTAAAAAATGTAGTAGAGGCACATTTTTAAAAACAAATACAGTATGAAATCTTGCTTTTTACTGAGTCAGCGATTTTTGTTTTGTTTTGCTTCCTCTTATGGCTATTTGGTTTACTTCCTTCTTCTGGGCAAGTTTAGTACGCAACTCTCATTCTTTAGACAGCCAAAAACCCAGACTTAAACTAAATGAAAACTTAACTTAGTATTGTCAGCTGAAGACACCATAACTAGCACCGTAAGAACAATTGTACTAAATTTTAATACTGTTCATTAACAGTTCCATTTTCCTGAGTTTGCGTTTGTTCTTTGGCATTGGCTTAGGATACAATCCGTTTTTCAGAAGATGTTCCTTGCTGAGACGAATTTGAGCACCATGCTGAAGCTGGAAAGAGCATAAAGCTTGAAGAGGGCGAAGCAATGTCTGTTAAGATAAAAAGAGATACTAAAAAAGTGTCTGTGACAAATCATGATACTCTGTCTAGATATTTTCCTCAGAAACAGGGATTATTATGTTTCTTTTTATTATTATTGGCTTTTAACTATGAAAAGCAAAAGGCACTCCAATAAATATATGATTATTTCTAAATAATTTCTCTAAATTCATACCATACATACCACTAAAGAATTCCAATAAAAAGACACAGATACAATTTTCCATATAGGTTATAAAGTCTGAAGTTAGTTTTATACATTAATATAGCTAAACACCACAAAAACTTGTTGCCATTATAATAATTTAATCTGTAACAAGCAGACTAAAAGCAACCTTTAGACACTAATTAGTTAATTCAGTTTCACTCACAGACTGAGGCAAGCTTCCTGCTACTTGATAACAATGAGATGATGGCAGCAATGGGTAACTGGTTTATTAATTCTCTCTCACTAGTTCATGGACCACATACAAGCAAGATATCCAGGTTTTTGGTGCATTTGAAATAATTCTAACTGTATATATACCTGTCTAAATTCCAGTATCTATAGGGCCAGCCCTATAACACAAACATGCGAAATGAGTGGACCCGTAAGATAACAGAGAATGGAAGAGGTTGTAAAAAAACTGGAGCATATATCCTACCTAAAGTTATTATTTTCAAAAATTAAAAAGAAAATAAAAACAATATATCTGTGTTTTAAAGATATTTTGAGTCAGATTCTTTCCTTGGGCCTGAGACCCCCAATCTAAATCGCTTAAACAACAGCAAAAACTTGATTGAGCAGATTACTAAAAAAAAAAAAAAGGAACAAACAAAAACACTCAATGATTTAACAACAAGAATTTCACAATGTCTACGTGAAAATTTATTCCCCCACATGTACAACATAAGTGATAGCAAAGGGCTTAATAACTTCAATTTACAATGAACTCATAAATTGTGGCAGTCACTGGAGTTGCTTCTCCATATCCATTCTTTCCTTCTCTGTTAAAATAATCAAAAATTTCATTCAAAGTAGCAATGTGTCCAACTCATAACATTACATTGGCTAATGGAACAGTCCATCCAATGAGATGTAAGCAGAAGTCCTTGGGTGGGGCTTCCAGGCATACCCTTTAAAATGAGACAAATTTAGCAGGCACTGGCTTTCACCCCTTTGTCTTGCCTGGAACATGACTGTTGGAAGTCGGATAACCATCATGTGACTAAAGGGCAATAAACATGAAGATAAAGCCAAATACACATGATGAAGGACAGAAAGAAGAAATCTGGGTCACTGACGTCCTTTTCAGGTTGCATCCCCAGTCCTGGACTGCTCACTTTAGCATTTCTTATTTACAGGAGAAAAAGAACCACTGCAGTAAGGGCTCTGTTACATGCAACCAAATGTAATTCCTAACTGCTATACGCTATAAGAAAAAGACAAATATCTTGGAAAAGCTCTGCATTACATTCCTGTAGAAAGCCCCTTAGGTGTGTTCTCATAGTTTCTTCATTACTTCAAACAAGAGAGGAAACGGGAAAATGACTATATGTTACTTTACAGTCATAATGGACTGATCGGATGCTGAAAGATCACACCTAGGACTATGTACAGACTGAGACAATTGAAGGTTCTATTGCTATTTTGTGACATTTATTAGATTCTTCATAGATAGAATACTCATATTCCCATGGTTAAGGGCTTCCAACTTTTATCTCGTGAAGGTAAGATTCCACCAATTTTCTGATGTATTATTAAGAGAAGCAATTCTGGAGACAGACAAATCTGAATTAGATCCCCACTGTCTCTGTGGTAGTCACCAGGGCTGTTCACAAATATGCCAGTCCTCCTACTGGTACATGATCATACTGCATTTTCTGGCCTCCTTTGAAGTTAGGCATGGTCATATAACTTGCTTAGGTTAATGAAATGTGAGCACAAATAATGTGTATCACCTCTTGGCAGAAGTTTTAAAAATGGTGAATGATTCACCACCTCCCCTTATTCCTTCCTTGATGAAAGCAGAATAACTGATGCGTCTAGATGATGCCTCCATCAGCCTGGATCCCTAAGTGACTGCTGTGAGCAGAGGTCCCCAGCAATCCTACTGGACAGACAGCGTGAGAGAGGCATAAGCCTTTGCTGTGTGACGCCATTCTGATTTTGGAGTTTTAAATTATGGTAGCCTAATCTAGCCTATCTTGACTAATGCAATCATTTACTAGCTATGTGTTCCCAGATAAGTTATATAACCTCTCTTTGCTTCATTTTCTTCACCTGTAAAATGAGGAAAATAATGTCTACCTTACAAGGTTATTATTATGGTAACAATGCATTTAAAGAGTTTAGTACACTACTTGATAATAAATGATAATCTTTCTATATAAATTAATAACATTATATCTGAGGCAATGTGAACGAAGCTAAATGAGGGACGGACTGGTTTAGAGGAACAAAGAAAATCTTCCACTTACAAAATTAGTTTGTTTCTAAAAGTTTATTTGTGGGGAATGAGTGTTTTGTAGATCCTTTTGTCTGTAGGTCTAAAGCGACAGTTTTCAAGGGACCATCATTCCCATCTTCCGGTGTTGAGTAGAGTTGAGGTATTTATGCTGGGGCACAAACCTTTGCCACATTGGGCCATAGAAGTTCATAAGGTAAAACAGCATAAGGAGAAAAGGTTCTATAAGAAAAAAGATCCCCAAGCTCAAAGCTTCCAAGGCATGAAAAGCCCTGGTAAATATTATAGTAGCTGAATGAAAATCACCAACTTTTAGTTCATAATTTTTGTCAATCTATCATCAAGAACCAGAGAGGCAAGTAGGGGCAAAAGGACAACTCTTCCTGAGTGCCTGGTGTCAGGCAATTAACACAAATCATCCAATTCAATTCTCACAACAATACTATGAGGCAACTATTTTTTGTACATTATAGATAAGAAAACAAAGCATAAAAAGATTACAGAAATTGCCCACTGGCAAAAAGTAATGATGATAAGTGATGAAGTTTTAATTCAAACCTGCTTCAAAGCTCATATCACGCCACTTCCAAGTGTCTGAACACTGCTCAAGAATAAAGGATGAGGAAGAGTCAAGAAAGAAGACTATTCTATGCCAAGTTCTTTATTTTGAGAAGCCCTACCTCTACAGAATGAAGCCAGCTGAAAAACTGCTACTCTTCCTCACCATCTTAAGGTTTTATTAGGATGCCCCTAACAAAAGGATACTAGGGAAAAAAATGTATGTCATAGCTTCCCTCCCCAGGAAAGAGAGAAAACACCTATGTTCAGAGCAGATCGTAACTGTGTTTCTCAGAGGAATGGACTTATTTTTTTAATTGTAGCCAGACTTGAACAGGCTGGGCTTGGGGTTCCCCCATTAAGAAAACTAATTTTTTGCCAGCTGTAATGATAACCAACTTGGGGTGTTTCTTCTGCTCATGCTCCTGTTGACCACCTTATCAGCACCCCCCAAATCACACATCTCATTATCAAACAACCTTTTTCTACTCCTGGCCACTTTAGTACGACTACTCCTGGTGACCAAAGCAAACAGAAGGAAAACTCTAGGACCTCACTTTTACTTTGGGATTTTGTGTTCAATTTGACCCATAGACAATAACAAAAGCTGAAGAGATGCTGGGTCCTCTCACCTTTCTGTATCTTAACCTTTGCCCGTTGTTAGATGTAATACTCAGAACATAAGATAGGATCCCTGCTGTGACAGTACATTAACACCAGAATGATATATCTTATAGAATGGGGAAGACGGGAGCACTAGCAGCAGTAGCAGTAGTGGTACAAACCCTTTCCCAAACCCTAACCCTGTTCTTTCACAACTACTGTTATTAATCCACCACCACTACCAAGCTTCAAGCTGCTGTTTAGGATGGCAATAAGGATCCAATTCTAACTGTGGGAATAAAGGTATAAGTATATAGAGAATTCTCTTCAGCACCCAAAACAGGAGAAGAAAGAAAGTCTTAAATCTATAGCCAAAGAATATTATATTTTCCCCTCAAGATTTGAACTTTTAATGGGTCCTAGGTATGTGTTGGCTGATCCTAGAGTTTTACATCAAGAAAAAGGAAAATACAGAGACTGTACAGAAAGCAAGTTTAAACAATAGCACTGGGTTTTATCTTTCTTTTAAGACACGTAAAAATAGTGTAGTTTTTTTGTTCAAGAAAATACAGGAATGATGGTGAATAAGCAAAATAGAAAGACAAACACATGGGTATATTTAGTGCTCTGTTGATGGCCAAGTACATGGGAGTAGGTGACAAGGCTAGAGGGGAGGAAGAAAAGTCTGAGAATACTCCCTGCATTTGAGGTAAGGATCTAGGGTCCCTCATGAATTTTTTTTCCTCAAAGGAGAGAGAACAGAAAAAAGAGAAATTCCCTGGACCAAAAATGAAGTCTACTCACACGGATACACACAAAAAAAGCCTACTAGTGAAAGCCAACTTCTTTCAAAAGAAGAAAAGTCTCCAACTCTGACATTTTCCATGGCTTTGGGTAGGAGAGAGGAAAAGGGCCATTCACTGCTTGCTCCTGGCATTCCTGAACTCTCCTTGCTCGCAAAGTCTTCTGTTCTTTTTCTTGGTAACTTATCCAGCTACTCAGACTGGATCTTTTACCCATTCTTGAAATCTCCTTCATGGCTAAGGCATGTTTTTATAATAGTGACATAGTATATAATGAGACAGAGAGAAAGAAGAAAGAGTACTTCGTGTGTGTGTGTGTTCGTTTGTGTGTGTTAGAGGAGGGAGTTATAAAACTCCATTTAGTTATGTTCGCTTCCTCTGACTTTTCTTCTTGAGTTGTATTTACCAAAAATTTTCAGTAATTAAAAAACTCCAAAAATTTAAGTTTTATCTTGCTATTTTTTTCTTTTGCCATAAGTGCAAAGTTTCTCACATGTTCCAAAAGATTGAGATGTTTAGTGAGGTCACTAAAACATTATTCTTTACTGACAATTATTAATTATATATGAAATCATCAGAATCTAATGGAAATTAAGTAAAATAATGATTGCAGGTTATAACCTTTACATATTCTGCAGGAGTTTTTCTCAAAAAATTATATCTTTTTTACACTCTAAGCAAAGCTAAAAAGATAAACAAAAAATTGGTATATCTCCTCAAATCAAAGCACCAATGCAAGAAAAAAAAGTGGCTGTAAAATGTTCTTTTAATTAAAAATTAAAAAGTACAAGAAAACACAATATACTAAAAGAGAAATACAAAATACCAAAAGAAAAATCTAGTCAAAAAAACTATATTTAATTGTTGTGCTAGTTAAAAGCAATTTAGCATATTACAAATGCTGTTTGCACAGCTTAGAATGAATATTTAAATAATGCAATCTGGAATGCTAAACCAACACAGAAAAACGCCAGAGGGGGAAAGAAGGTTATAAAAGTGCACAAATTTCTATCACCCGATACATTCTACTTGGCACTTGAGCTACAAATTTAACAAGTTATGGATATCTAAATTTTCTGGAAAAAGCTAACCAAATTCCTACTTTCAAAAACTATATAACCTTCCGCAGACATACCTCTTGTATGTAAATATTTTTCTCCAAGATGGAAAGAGCAACAGCTGCACACTCCAGTGTAGAAAGGCACCTATTAGTTGGCTGTGTCCGAATTACATACTGACTAGAAATGCTAGTTTTTAACTGCACCTGAAACCAAAACAGAATAATAGAATGCAATTTTTGTTTTAAATTTAAAACTATAAAGTCTGTGTTTTAAATAATAATTACTTTAATTTCCTTCTAAAATTGCCAGTTTAGAAATATTAAATGTATCAATATCTTCTATAATAATATCCTTTTGTTATTGTTAAATAGTAGAAGCAAGGCAATAGTTACACATATATCTGACAAAGAAAATATACCCAGAATATATACAAATTCCTATAAATTAAAAATAAAAAGACTAATAGCACCCTCCCAGTAAGCAAAAGAGCAAACAGACACGTCACTCTTCACAAGAAAATATCACAATGGCAGATAGGTACATGTAAAAGTTCTCAACATGATTTAATGCAAATTAAAATCACAACGAGGTAACATTTCACACTCTCTAAAACAGTTAAAATAAAAAAGACTAGGGGCCAGCCCCATGGCCTAGTGGTTGAGTTCACGCACTCTGCTTTGGCAGCCCAGGGTTTTGCCAGTTCAAATCCTGGGCACAGACCTAGCACCACTCATCAAGCGGTGCTGAGGCGGTGTCCCACATAGCACAATCAGAAAGACCTACAACCGGGATATACAACTATGTACTGGGAGGTTTGGGGGAAGAAGAAGAAAAGGAAAAAAAAGAAGAAGATCAGCAACAGATGTTAGCTCAGGTGCCAATCTTTAAAAAGAAAAAAAAGAAAAAGACTACCACCACTGAATGGGGAGGATATGGAGCAAACGAAACTCTAATACATCACAGCGGTCGTGAAAATGGTTTAAACACTTTGGAGAATTGACAACTGGTTTTTTTATTTTATGGTTATTCTTCCATTATTTCTTAATATAAACTAATAGGTGTATATGTGTGAGTGCGACTGTGTATAAACACACAGAGACATACACACACAAACATACATATGTATATATATCCTCTCTTTTTAGATAAAAAGTAGCATATTATATACACTTGTCTCCATGAAGATAATATTGTAGCTGAGACCTGATGTCTAAGGCACAGTAAGACATGAGAAAAGCAATAGAAAATCGAATGCCGACATGTTGGCCTTTTGATTCCTATTTTAATTAAATTAAACTCAAGAAATCTTACACTCATAAAGCCATCTCCCTAGCCCACACTCTGATCAGAATCACATTTAAGGATGTGTGGGTAGACGAGAATTTCCGTTTTCACTCATAAAATATTCTTAATAAAAGTCCTATGAGTCTCTCATTCCTTTATTAAAACTCTCTCATCCATGCCATCCTGTCCCTCAACCCCATTCCTCCTTTGTTTCTCACGCAGTCATACTACAATGGGAAATATGGTTCTTCTACCCTGATTGCTTTTTGTTCAAAGAATTCTCCTCTACAACTTATATCATTTCTTTCCACAGAAAGAGGAGGAGAGGGGGAGGGGAGAGAGGGAAAGAGGGCATCATAAAAGATTCACTACAAAATGTATTTGATTTTGAAGTACATCATTTAAAGCATATTTGACTAATAATGTTTTAGATATGATCATATTAAAATTACTCTGCATTTCTACCAATGAAAAACATGGAAAGTAGAGGCAGGGAGGGAAAGAGATGGAGGAAAATGGTTGAGAAAAGCACAATGATGAAAGAAAGCCTATGATTAAATAACTAAGAATAATTCATAACGTTGATTAACTGTAATTACTAACAGCTTTGATATTTCATCAGGTCAACTAGTAGAACAGAGTACAACCAACTACTGCTTTCAGTATTGAATTCCAAGTCATCACTGGAGGAATTTATAATAGACATCTGATTGCAGCACAACCTTTGGGAAACATGAGAAATTCACAGAGCATTTTGTTTACTGGAATGAATTTGATTTTTAAAAGCAGTTTGCTACTTTAGGGAGGAGTTTTATTTCTTACCTTACGAAAACTCAGAATTTGAAATTTTTGAATGTTAAAAAACTTTAGAATATCCTTCACAAATAGTCTCTCCGGGAAGTATCCAGTAGCCAGATATATTACGAGTATATGACTAAGATCTGTCATATTATTAACATACATGTTATTAGAGCATGATAATATGATCGTCTCACAGTTCCTCCTTTTATGCTCATGTGCTATTTCACCTTTATAACACACTTGATTCAATGAGTAAATGACCAAGAGCAAAAAGAAACCCTGTTAATTCATCTTCTTGAAAAGTCATAGGCATCATAACAAATAATTTGCCAGAAATTGCCTTGTCTTCCTGAATAAAAGTTCAAGAAACTCCAAGGCAAAATTAACTATTCTAAGAAAGGAAAAAATTAACATACAATGAAAGTACAGTATAGAATAAGGATCTATTGAAAGACCAGGATTATTATATCAAACAATAATTAATTAATCTCAGTCAAGTCATTTAGTTTCTCAGTTCCTCCTCACCTAGAAAAACCAAATAGCTGGACCTGATCGTGTTAAAACCTATCTTTTAATGATCAATTCTAATATTATATATAATATATACATTAATTATAATTATATATTAATTATATATTTTAATATTAATACATTATATAATTAATATATTATATACATACAATCTTAATTTCCAAATTTTGGAAGCGACACAGACTCAAAGAATGCTTCAGTAATTTTGATTTTTTTGGAAGTTCGTGCTCTATGGATATAAGTTGTCTGAGTGCTCTTAATATAACTTCTTCAGAAACAGGAAAATCATCGGTTGGCTTAGAATTCTACTGGTATAAATTGTGAGCCTATAACATAACTTCCACTTTAGAAACAGACAACTCTTCCAAATCTTATTTCTAGACTTAGCTTCAAATCTTTTCCATTGATTCTCTGAATTGGCTAAAATTTGAATTGCTGTAAATTCTTTTGTTGTTATAATCCCGTCCTTTCTTCTCTTCCATCAAATCTTACATATATATTTAATATATAAGAATAACAGATAACAGCTTGATGGCTATGTTCACTGTTCAGATGCCTCCAAAAAGGGTTTTTTCAAAAGTCTCCTTCCTAGATATACCTTTACTATTTTTGTCACCACAGGTGATTTATGTCATTAAAAGTTTGGATGTCATTGCATGTTCAGTGGTTTAGTAACGGTCTTTAAGGCTTTAGGGCTAAAACACAAACAAATATCCAAGGAAATAACATGCCACGGCTTGTTTGCAGAACATAACATATATAACCATATTAAAATCTAAAATTCAATTTATCAAAACACAGCATAAAAAGAGTGAAAAGACAAGCACAGAGGGAATATATTTGCAATATATGTAGCTGTCAAATGGCTCATATCCAGAATACATAAAGAATTCTCAGAAATCAATACGAAAAAAATTAAAAACCTAAAATAAAAATTGTTAAAAGACGTTAATAGGTACTTCAAAAATGAGAACATCTAAATGGATAATAATAAATATAGAAAAAGATGTTAAACAACATTAATAGTCATGGAAATGAAAATTAAAGCAAAATGAGAAACTACTAAACGCTCATCACATTTGGCAAAAAGTTTAAAACATCTGACATGACCAAATATTAGAGAGGACAACTCCCATACATTGCTGGTGGGAGTGTAAACAGTTACAATCACTTTATAATAGTTCTATTAAACCCAGTAAAACTGAAACTAGGCTTAACCCATGACCCATCCATTTCATTCCGAGGTATATGCCTGAGGGAAACTCCTGCACATAGGCATCAAGATACACGCACAAGAATATTCATAGCAGCACGTATCATAATAGCTCCAAGCTGAAAACAACCCAAATGTCTACCAATAACAGAATGGATAAATTGTGATATATTCACATAATGGGATATTATACAGCAATGAAAATGAATGGAGTGCAGGTATGGAAAATAACATGGATGAATCTTAAAGATATATTAAATACAAGATACAAGAGAGCACATAGAGTATGGTTTGATTTATATAAAGTTCAAAAATAGGCAAAATTGTATTATTTAAGGGTACATACATCTATAAACAAAAACCAAGAGATGATTACAATAAAGGACAGGATATGGTTACCTCAGGAGGTAAAAAAGAGGGTAGTGAAGGGGATAGTAACACATGGCAGAAAAGGGGCCTTTGGGTGCCAACAATGTTCTATTTCTTGACTTTAAGGGTGGTTATAAGAATGTTAAATATTTCTTACTCTACATGCATGTTTTATGCAAATCTCAAAATAAAACATGCTATTAAAAATTCTCATGATAGAAATTATTAAAAATTCTCATGATAGGTATTAGTTCCCTCCTTTGTATTAGAAGTTTTCTCTGCTATGCAGAACACTAAAATCAAAACGGAAAACAGAAAATAGTTGTCGGGAATTAGCTGTGTGACCTTGGGTAGGTTACTTACTTTCTGGGGTCTCACTTTCCTAATATAGGAAATAATTGATTTAAACCAATGTCTGAGATTCCTTCAGGTTCAAAAATTCTTAGAGTCTCTTTAGCTCCCATAATTCAGGCGAACACCATCAGGGACCTGATGAAATCTCATGTATGTTTCTTCTGTTCTTCATTGTACAGCAAAGTGGAAAAAGTTGCACATGAAATGTTAAATAGATACACATGCAAAATAATATTTCACTATTATTTAAAGAACAATCAAGTTGTTCTTCTCAGCCAAGTTGTGAGCCTGAATATACTACCTTCTTGTCAGTCTAACACAGTGCTGGGAAATAGATAGCTGCTGATTGATGAGTAAAAACTTTTCTATGTGAGAGCTGAAAAGGTATTAAAGAGAAAAATAACATGCATTATATTTTGTGGTATTGTGGAATTTAATTTTATTAAGACTACAGTCCATTCAAGTGTAGTCAACATATTGAGATATTAGATAATGCCTACACTTGTTGCGTTAATTATTCCTTAAATGAATCCATTCAAACACAATTTGGACAAGATAAAATCCTGTGTAATAGCCATTAATGATAGAATATATTCCACTCAGACAGATGGTATAATTCTGTCAACTTTGTAGTATGAAAAATATCTACAT